CATAAGTGTCTAAGAAAATAGTGTAAATCAAGAAAATGGACTTTATGGAATAAAACTATACATACATGGGACTAAATAGGTTAAAAAATTCTTTCATAAATTTCTTGGGTTAAAACACTTCTAAATTGGACTTATCAATAAAAATCCATTTTGTTTTAGGTTATTTTGGGCTGCATTACTTTTTTTTTTATATATATATTTTAAAAATAAAATAAAATAAAATCAAAAATTAACTTTTAATTTATTTCTCAAAATAAGCCATTATGATTAACTTCCTCTTAAATAATATAATCCAATACTTAAAATATATGACGATAATTAAGCAAATTATTTACAGTCTAAAATAAAAAAAATCTCCTAAAAATATATCAGTAAGTTAAGCAAATGAAACTTACCACATCCCTACTGTCGTGGTAGCCACCACCCATACTCCACCACATCATCACTACACTACCACTATCTCTGTGTAGGTAAAAGAAAAATAAAAAAATATTAATTTTTCCTTACATATTAAAAAACTTGATTAAATTAAACTTAAATTTCAATAAATATCAAACAAAATGGATATACTTAAATTTCAATAAATATCAAACAAAATGGATTGGAAAATTTATCTAATAATTTTCAAGGTTATCCAACAAAATCTAATATGTAATTATTATAAAACTTGGGAAAATTATAGAATTATTTGACACTAATGGAACTTGGCTTCAATTTCATATTATATAGGGGAGGATCATAGTAGTAGCTAGAGTTATAAGTGGGTTGAGTCGAGACGAACTTTAGTATATTTAGACTTATTTATTAAGATTTTAACGAGTTTAAACTTGAATTCAAAAAAAATTTAATGAATCGAGCTTAAACCGAGTTAGTTTATGCTTGACTCCAATTCAAGCCTGTTCACGAGTCTTAACGAACTAAAAAAATTATAAATTTATATTTGCTTATGAAACTAAAGTTACAATTAAAACTTTAATTATAGAATTATATATACAATATATGAACATACTAAAAAAAGTTAATATTTTTCCAAAATAATAATATTTACCACTACTATTATATAAATGTACTATTTATAGTTAACTATTATTTATATTTATATTTTTAAAATATATAAATAACATATTTATCTTATTTTTTATACATATTTTTATATTATTTAATATATAAATAATGAATATTAAACACGTTGAGATTACGAGCTGAGTTTTAGTATGTTTGGACTTATTTATTAAAAATTTAACAAGTTCGAGTTTGAGTTCGAGTTCAAGTTCGAACGCAAAAAAAATTTAACGAACCGAATTCAAATGAGTTCTTATCGAGTTGAGCCCGAACTTATTCATAAACGGCTCTGATCCCGTTTGAAACATCTTTCTTGAATCAGTTCCAAAATATATATGTTATGAAATTACATGTGTAAAATGAAAAGGGGTAAATTACACTGACACCTTTTGAGATTTGGTCCAATTACATCCCTCCTCTTGATGTTCTAAAAATTACATTCTAATTCCTATAATTAATAGTCTCATTTCACAAAATCTTTTACTTATATAAAAAGCAAAAACTCCTAGTAAAAAAAACAGATAAAATTACATTAAAAAAAATAAAGCAAAGGAAAGGAAAAAAAAAAAAAAGTAAAGTAAAGCAAGAAAAATTGAGAGTACATGAATTTAATATTTTTATTCTGTTTAAATAATTACAATGATAAGCAGTTAGTGTATTCCAAATGTTAAGGGTGATATGTGGGTCATTCTATTTACACACCACTTTTCCTCGTAAACCATTAATTAGTTTATTTTTTATTACAATTTTAACTTTAAGTGAAATGACTATAAATGACAAGTTATGATACATCCCATTTGTGTATTTCCCATAAAGGACAATAATCAATATAATATAAATCATCAATTTCAAACTTGTTCCTCACGTATCTTCTCTATCAAGAATCCAAAAACCCTAAAACCAAAATAAAAAACCCTTCAACAAATAATCAAAAATATAGTATTATTGAAGATTTTGATTGGATTCAATAAAGAATGCATATGACAATTCTCATTCGGAACAATAGAGCAATGAAAATGTTATTTTTTTTTTGTTGTTTTCGTATTCGTTTTCGTTTATGAGTGGTAAATCGTTGTTCGATTTAACCAGAGGTGAATGATATATCATTGTTCGACAAATTACATATGTTCAACAGACTATAATTGAACAACTTATATCTGTTCAACAGACTACAATCGAACAAATTACATCTGTTTAACAGAGTACAATCGAACAACTTATATATGTCCAACAGACTACAATCGAACAAGTGGAATTTGTTCGGATTACTACGGTCAAACTTTTTCATTTAATTCAACTTTGTACTGCCGAACAATTATAAATTTTATTTATTTATTTATTATTTTTCAGAACTGTGTTGAGCAATACCACCGACGACATTTTGATGAGTATTTTCAGCAATGGTGTTCACCGGTGTGAATAGAGAATGGAGGGAGAGATGAATATCATGGGCGCGGGGTGTGTGAGGATAAAGATGAAACTTTGTGCGTATATTATTGTGGGTGGATGTGTGAGTAAGAATAAATATATAAATTCGTAGTGTCTGATGAGAAAAATATTTAATTTTATAAATTATTTTTGATGTGACTACAGAAATAGTTTGTCTTCAGAGAGAAAGTGCTGTGTAAATGGAGCCTCCCGTGATATGTGTGCAAGTGTAATTTACCGTATTTATTCTATTTCTTTCCTCTTGTTAAAAAAGAAAAAGAAAGAAGAAGAAAAGAAGGAAAAAGGAAAGAATATTCTTGTTCTTGGGTCTTCTCGTATTCATTCTCCCTCTGTTTCTACCATCAGAATTCAGAAACATCGTATCGGCTTTGATGCGAATTTGAAATGCAAAAATCATAATTAGGGTAGATATAGATATAGATATAGTGATATTCATTCATTCATTCGTATTCATTCATTTTAGAATTTGACGCGATTCGATGTTCGTGTTTACACTGGTTGTGGGGTTCATAATTGGGGCTCTGACGATTATAGCCGTTGAAGCATTGGTAGTGGTTGTTGTGTTGGGCCGATTAAATAAACGAGTCAAGAATGAAGAATCAAAGGCCGTATCACACTCTCCTCAAGGACTCTCTGAACCCCACTCTTCTTATTACAAAAAGCAGGTTCACTTTTCTTCTTCTTGTGATCTGCTATTTGAATTTATTACAATTTCTGAGTCGGTTAAGATTTATTTATTCATTTTTTGAAGATGGGTGAGGGGTTAGCGAGAGTGCAGTCAGAAATTCAGAAAACAGTTCTGGAATTTGGGTATTGCTTGCTTACAAGTTAGTTCTATGGAAATGAAATGGACACATGTTGTCTTTTTATAGATTATAGAATTTTTGGCACTACAACATACATACATCAGCAAGGATGAGAACATTTTCAGTTTGTCACAATTAATATTACTGTGATGAACTGAAACACTAACATAATGAAATTTCACCAATAATGGTATATGCATACTGATGTAACTTATCTTAGTTTGGCTATATTCTATGCCAAGTGTCACAGAATGGCTTTGTTTCGGGCTTGTCAATTTCAGTGTTATATTTCAACTTATTTCTTTTTTTGGTGAGAATCATCAAATTCAATTTGTGAATAATCTTATGTGATATATAGGCTGTGGCAGAGTTCAAATTTTGCTCAATTGGTAATAGGTGAGGTGGCAGAGACAAACCTACCCTTCCCCTCTTCTCATGTGTGTTTCTCATATCCTTTGGCCTTTGATTTAATATCAAAACCTAAAATTTGGCTCCTGTCTAGACTTGTAGAACTTAAGTTTTCAGAAAATTCTGCTAGCTGAAAGTTCGAAACCCAAGCCTGTTTTGCCTCCACAACTGTCCAACATCACTAGTTGTTCTTGTTGAATTATTGAGTCTTCTGACTCTTCTCAAAGGAAATAATAGCCAGCATGAAATAGAAATTAACTTGGGTTAATTTTTTTGAATATTGATTCAGTTTTTGGGTAGTAAATTAAACTTACCTAATCTTATAAAGCATAATACTCATTGTACTTATTAATTTTTCAAAATATATATATATATATATTCGTTGTACGTATTAGTAATAGTTGATATGTTATGATGCACATAGTAGCAGTGTTATTAAAGGCGCGCCTAGGCGTGCACCTAGGCTCAAGGTCCATCCAGGCCCAAGGTTCGCACCTTGTAGTGTTCCAGGCTAGGCGATTTCGATAAGGCTCACCTCGGCGTGTGCCTAGGCCCAAGTCCCGTCCAGACTCAAGGTTTGCGCCTTGTCGTGTTCCAGGCTAGGCTACTGTGATAAGGCATTTGACTGGCCCAAGGCTTGTGTCTTGAGGGCTTTTTTTTATTGTTGCTTTGGTTTTGTTTAAAATTTGACCATTGATTTAATATGGTGCAGCTACAGAAGATTCTTACTTTTATTATAGATGCCAATACGTTGGGCATTCAACCCCAAATCAATGATGGAAGAAAAATTAACCCTAATTCCTAATCTCCAAAAAACACTAAATATTTAACATTTCATTTTGTTTATGTTGAACCCTAAATTATTTAATTATATTAAATTATATATATTTTTTCCGTACAAGGTGCGTCTCACATCAGTGAAGCCTACGCCTCACCTTGCGCTTTGAGCCTAGGCCCTAGGAGGCCTTGGTGCCTTGGTGCGCTTGTCACCTTTAATAACACTGCATAGTAGTGTAAAAGAAAATTTCATGCAAGTATATGTTTTAACTAGGGTAAGCAGCCTTCTCAAGATAATTTGATCCACAATTTTTGTACGTAATCTTCAATAATATATGAATTAATTGCAAATCTAATATTGACATGTTAGTTTACCTTATAACATTAGTATACATTATGTCAATATTAGATTTCCAAATCTTCATTTTTATGTAATAATTAAAACTTTCTTCCTTATTTTTGACAAAAGTTGAAATCTTAGAATTACAATTTTTTGGTAGTATTGATTTAACTATTGGATGCTAAATTCATATATCAATTGGCATGCCAAAAGAAAAACAAATTATGATCCCCTTGAAAATCATAAAATTGGTTGCTGATACTTTCACATAATGGCATGAAGTATCCGTATCACAATTACTTTGAATACCATTTTAAGCTTAAAAAAAGAAAAAGAAAAAGATTTTTGATGTACGGACCAGTTAGAAGCTAGTCAATTTTTGTTTGCAGTTACTGCTACTTAGTGGTATTTAAATTTTCTTCATGCTTTTTCATGCTATTCATAGAACATTTTTACTTTTTTTGTTTATGTTCTTTTCTTTTTATTTTAATATTATTTTGGAAGCAGTATGCCTATGTTCATGCTTGCATGCTAGTGAAATAAAAGCTGTGATGTAAAAATTGCTCAACTTTCTTTCCTATACTTCAATTGCCAAGCTATTCTTTTCATGCACTAATTCCCTTGGTGTGTCTCAGGGTGTAGTTTGGGTTTTAGAACCAGAAAAGGTTCCAAAGTCAGGGCTTGTAGACAAAGCACCAAGAGAGAAAAAGCGGAAGAAAGAGATCTTCGAGGTTTCCCCTGTCCAAAAATATGCAAAAGTCAAGGGTCAGTCACTCATTCTAACAAATTCAGATGGTTCTCACACAGAAATTCAGCTCAAGGGTTGCACAATAGCAGCTGTTTCTGCTACAACCTTGTTTTCAAAAAAATGGTGAGGTCCCGAGCAAGTAGTCTGAAACCACTACCACAGTTATATTATTTTGGTTTCTGTTTGAAGTTTCTTTGGGATCATGTGATGCAACTTTAACCTTAAGTTCAAATCTACTGGAACATAGGTGTTTCAGTCTTTAAACCTCAAAATCAGATTTGTTTTGCCATCCCTCTTGTACCAAAAAACCATACTATACAATCGCTAAGCCCCTTTTCCTTCAAACCTTCTTACACACTTGACTAACTCAAAACAACCTAAAATGGCAAAAGCACTATTGTTAGGTACTATTTCAGCGCCTCGAATAGTCCAAAATCCTCCCATTCTCTTTATCAAAGTAAGCCCAAACCCTTTATTCCCTGAATACACCATTATCCATAAAACCCCCATTTTTTTTTACCAATCTTTCTGCTTCATAACCCAGCTTCAATTAGACCTAAATAGAGCTTTTTGCAGCTTAAGTACATTAATTTTGGGCTCATGCAGTTGTCCTACTTCACCCTAGGTGTGATTGCCTGAGTTTTCGCCCTTCTTTATCCTATTCCACTTCATTCTCTTATTTTCTCTGTCCAACAAAATCATGCATCAAACTAAACTAGTTGAGGCTTTGATACCAACTGACTTAGCTGGAGGCAAGAATAGAAAGAAGACACCGTCTTCAATATGGGGAAATCCCTCTTTTATTTGGAAGGCTGTCTTCCATTCATTGCCAAGCCTAATCCGAATTTTGTGATATTTGCTCTACTTGCTTTGGAAACATTTTTGAACTGCTGGGCATATCAACGTGTCATCCAGCTATGAGATTGGAAACTGCACTTGATTGTTTTTGTGTCAGTGTGGTATGCTTATGGACATACATTTGCTAACATTCATTCTCCTTTGGCGTTAATAAGGTTGGAATTAGACAAGAACTCTTTCGTAAATTGATCCCTTTTGAATCATCTATTCCACCATAAGTTCTCTTTATATAATTCATAAAATGTTAAAAAAGTAATAGCCTTCTGAAATTTTCTAACCACTCCAATAACATTTATGGGCCCAAATTTAACTCTTACAGTTTCCAAATTATTAAAAATAAGAAAGAAAACCTTAAACACTTGGGTGCCGTTTGGTAAAGTTTACAACTTACTGTTTTTGTTTATAGAAAATATTAAACATGTTTATATTTAATTTTGACATGTTTGGTTCACAAATGTTTTGAACACATGAAAAGGGTGGTCCACAGGTGGTGGTCGTGGTGGTTGGAAGAGGTGTGAGAAAGAGGAAGAAATTAAAAAAAAAAAAAAAAAGGTTAAACAAGTGAAACCAACTTTTTTGTGGTTAAAAAAATTGAGTAAATTTTATAAACTATTTACAATTGTTTGAAAAATAAAACAGATACCAAACTAGTTTTATTTACAATTTTCAAAAATTTTGTAAATTGAAATGGAAATCTGTAAACATAAACATTACCAAATAGGCCCTTAAAAATATAATGGAGTTACAAAAAAAAGAAAAAGAAAAAGAAAAGACAAACATTGTGGTCGGTCATGTGACATTTACTGCATGCAGCTCAATGCCTTGTGTTTGTAAAGAATGTGGAAGACAGTTAATTTTGTTCTACTGCTCCCAGTTACTGTCATAGGGTTAAAGGCACCTATGAAGAATTTTGCCTTTCTTCCTGCCCTGAATAATTATATTGCTGTTCTAAAAAAAAAAAGAAGAGAAGAGTTTTTGTGGTTCTAAATATTTTATTTTACTTTATTTTTTTAAATATTGCAGGGCCAAAAAATATCCAATTAAAGTGGAGAGCAAGACAGTTTTATACAGTGGAAATAAAACTGTTTACATATATCTTGAGACATCTTGGGAGAAGGAGTCATGGTGTAAAGCCCTCCGTCTTGCTTCCTCTAATGACAAAGGAAAACTTAAGTGGTTTTCAAAGTTGAATGTAGAGTTTCAGAGTTATCTGACTACCTTAAATACAGGATATCCTTCATTTATGAAACCCTCTGTGGGTATCAATGCTGAGCCTATAGACAGGCCAATTAAGGTTGATGGTTCTTCATCGAAGGTTCGCCACTTTCTGAAAAAACTTGCAAAGAAGGCGTCTAAGAGTGGTGTAGAAAATAAATCGACGTCAGGCCTTGAAGAGAGAAAGATCTGTGAGAAATCTTATTCATTCCAAGATTCAGTTTCGGGCACTGGTGTGGTAAAGACTACTCCTATAGGCAAGACAACTAACCTTTCTGTGGAGGACAAAACGATTCCATCATCATCATCAACCTTAGCTCACACAGGCTCAAGCGCCAGAAGTCATATCTCTGTGTTCTCTGATGTAGATTCCGATGACAAGACTGGTAGTGATGAAGGAACACTTTGTTGGAATTTGTTAATATCACGTTTGTTTTTTGATGCCAAAAGCAATACAGATATAAAAAACTTTATGCAAGCGAGGATTCAGGTTCGTAATGTTTCATGACTTCCTATTATAAGATTTAATTTTATGTATCTATTAGGCATGGTTGCTTGTTGTGTATTGCGATGGGTGAAACCTGCTTTGGTTTCTTACTTCTGCAATAGTTAACCCCACACATTTTTGTTGTTTTCATGCATGCATCTCTTGTTGGAAAATCCAAGTGGATAATTTTCACATTTAAGCCATAATGCTAGGATTGTCCCCATTCAGCCTGCTTAATTTGGGCTTTTAGTGTAATATTTGAAGATGTATATAAGATGTGAAGACTTGTATGCTCTAGTCCTTGTTAACAAAGAGCTTTGATATCTGAGACCAATGTATATATTTGGTTTGAGTGTTAAAGTTGTACTTTCTATATGTATAAATTAGTACTTTTGTAGGAAGAGCCTGGGTTGGCAATGTAACTAGAAGTATTGAAGTTTCATGTAATTAATTTATGCACATGCTCTAAATGGATGTATGTGGGTAGAAGAGGTGGTGAAAGGCAAAGTTTCAATGTAACACCATAAGCTTCCTTTAGTTTTTGCAACCTAAACATTGATCCCTACCTACTAAATAACTCTTATTCATATTCACCTTTAGTCCTGATGTCACAACCTCAAACCACCCCAAACTTGAATCGGGGAGTGACCGGTGAGTAGTCATAGACTGCCAAAGGTCTAACTAAACAAAACTAGTAGTACTTCTATTAATGATTTTGAAGCTAATGAGTTACCGTTTTTGTTATATATTTTTGATGATGTGTCTTTGAGAGGGCTTGTGTGTGATAAAAGAGTGGTCCATTCATTCCTTAGGTGTTTTTCTTGCAAGTCTTTTTTGTAAGATTGTTGATGATCCAGATGTTTCACCTTTTCATGCTTGCAAAATGATTTGAAATGCATATGTGCCTCTCAAGGTTAAACTGTTTGTTAATGTAATATTAGTGTGCCATATCTAGCTGTCCAGCTGTCCCACTAATGATAATGTTTTTGTTTTCGGTGTTAGTTAGTTAGTATCCTATGTGTACCACCTTTCCTCTCTATAAATGAGAGTGTTGTAAATCACTGAAATATCAATCAATTGAATACATACAATTCTCTCTGTATTTCTCTCTTTATACATTGAATTTAACACTATTTGCATGGTATATGGCTCATAAAAAGCTCAAAGCTAATAATATGATTCAAAAGAGGAGACCTAGTTGTATATTGTTGCCTTAATGGTGTTATTATGGCCTTGTTTGGCAAAGGCTATTTTTTCTTGCTTTTTGGGCTAAAATTCACAAAAAAGACAAAATAGGTCACATCAAACCCATAATCATTTCACTTTTTTTTCTCACAAACATCATATCAAACTACAAAAAAATCTAACTATCTTCCTAAACACAAATATTTTAGCCTACTAAAATAGCCAAAAACTAAAATAGCCTACTAAAATAGCAACTTTCCAAATACCCACTATGTGTTGAGTGGATTTGGAGAGTATGAACCGTTTGTTTATAAATTGTCCAGTGGCTTTGTTTTTGTGGCATAACTTTAATCATCTTGCTGGTGTGGATTGGGTCAGGGGTTTTTGCTCCAATTTGAAGGCCTAAGCTCTGTGAAATTGTGTGAACTGAATAATTTTTTAGGTGTTTTGGTCGGAGTGCAATGCAGGAATATTTGATGACTTGAGGGGGTTATGGGATAGAGTGTGTTATTTATCTTCTTGGGTGTTTGCATCTCCTGCTTTTAAGGAGATTCCATTGTTTTTTATTTGTACAGATTGGAGGGTACTGCATGATATGTAATTTTAGGTTGGTTCTTGTTGGTGGACCTCTGGTTCTCCCTTTATTGTAACTTTTTGGTTGGGAAAGGGGGATTGCCATCGTAAGAGAACATAAAAATGCGAGTTTCTAGTAATAGTAGGGATGAAAAAGAGGAAAAAAGAGAATACCAATGCCAATCTATATAAAAGAAGTTACGTACTGTAACAAAGAAAGGGAATAAGTGACGTAAACATGCTTGTTTTATCCTCTTTTCTCTATATTTTCTCCTTTTCTACTTTCTCGGAGTCTTTTATAAAAAAAAAGTTTTTTCACAAAAAGACCCAAATTGAACATATCCGTTTCCTAGGAAATGATGTTTTGGCTGTTTTGTTTTGGTAGAAATTTAATGAAATTTTGTTCCTGACCTTATTTGTGGGAAAGTGTGATGAATAAAAAGTTGGCCTACAGTGCCTAAATTTTGATTTTACAGGATTGAAATAGTATATAGTTATTTTGTAATTTTATAAAACTATTTTTGTAGGCAGATAAACTACATAATTGGGCATACTTAATGATTTGTTGAATGTGATATATGGGCATGCTTTTGTGTTTTTGGAATGCATTTATTACCCTGACTCTGATTTTTCTTGTGTAATAGAGAACACTGTCCAATATGAGGATCCCCAGTTACATGGGTGACCTTACCTGCACTGGCATAGATCTTGGGAGTCTCCCTCCATATATCAATTGCATGAGGGTTCTTCCCTCAGACATGAATGAAGTATGGGCCTTGGAAATTGATATTCGATATTCTGGTGGTGTGGTGATAAATATTGAAACAAGGCTTGAAGTTCAGGAACTAGGTTCCGAGGAAGGCATGATGGATACAAACTTAGAATCAAGCTCTGTGGGGGAGGTCACATCAGATCTTCTAGAAGGTTTTGAGTACTTTGGAAAGCAATTGGAGCTTTCTGAAGGTACACTTGATGCAACTGAGCAAAAGGATGAACCAGATTTAAAACGAGGTATGTGCTCAAACCTTCTTTTCTGGATCTTGTCTGTGCATATAACATGCAATTTGAGCATGCTTGCAGAATGCAACTATAGATGAAATTGTTGAGATTGCTGCGTGGTAGTGCTGATTATATTTGTTAAGTACTTAATGCTATGATGCATGGACACGGACACGGACATGGACACGGGACATGACGTGGACATGCGGACACACAAATTTTCAAAAAATGGGAGACACAACACATTGGGGACACGCTTAATATATATAATTTTATTTATTTATTATATGTAAAATTAAAAAATATAAATATTATTTATTTATTTATTTTAATACCAAATATCATTCACAAATTAAAACTTTCCTATAAATAAAAATAATTTATTTAAGCAAATAATAATACCCAAAAAATCGAAAAAAGGAAAAGAGGGGGAAAAAAAAGGTTTTTGTTCAAATATATATATATATTAGTATATAAAATATGGGACACTTAAAAAGAATAGAATAGAGATAGCGAGACAGTCAAACGCTAGGGGGGAGAGAGAGAGAGAGGGACAGAAGAAAGAAGAAAGAAGAAGAAAAATGAAGAAAAAAAAGAAGAAAAGAAGAAGAAGATCGAAGAACAAATTTGAAGAAATGAACATATCTAATCTAGGGCTTCAATTCAATAGGTTCTTCTTCACCCTCTCTCTCTCTCTCTCTTCAACAGGTTAGGGTTTCTTTCCCTCTCTGTCCATAACGTGTCCAAGAGAGTGTCCCAAGCGTGTCCGGTTGGAAAAATTCAAAAAAAAAGAAGGGACACCTTAGGTAGAGTGTTGGACACGTGTCCACCGCATGTCCAACGCGTGTCCGTGTCTGACACCCATACGTTGCCTCCGGAGAGGTGTCCGTGCTTCATAGACTTAATGCAACCCAAGAGTTGTACCATAAAAAGAAAGTAGTACTCATACAGCTATATAGCTGAACACACATATGTATTAGCAAAGAGTGCAACTTTGTACTGCCGTATAAAATGCTTCCAATTTTGGTTTTCTAAATTCTCTGATATGTCCACATTCTTGTCACATGATTTAGAAATATTTGATCACAACTAAAAACTGCAATCATGGTGGTTGGGAGCATTAGAAGTTAGAACTTCTTCAATGATTTTGAAGGCTTGTCCCTCTTCTCTAGAAAAGGTGTTTTTATTATATTATATTATATATATTTAAAATCTTTTCTGTGGGGGGGGGCCGCGCCGGGTGGGCGGCACACTTCGAGGAGATGCATGTTGAATTCGTAACGGCTTTTGCTGGAAGACCACCTAAGGCTAGCAACGTGTTCATTGTTGCTATGTCAACATAATTCTAGGCCTTGTTCTCTTCATCCTGGGAACACATGAATCTAGTTATGTTACTGTAGCCATCAGATCAGATTGTCCTCATTTGGTAAGAGGAATTTTGATGCAGAGATTGTTAGTAACAAAGTCAGAAAAGCTGGATTTTGGAATGGAGTGTGTTTAGGGCATCATATAATGAAGTTTAGAGTTAATTTGAGTCTTTTTATTTTTTAATTTTTTTTATTGATTACTTGTTTGAGCTGTTTGTGTGACGTAATTTCTGTTTTCCTTGGTTTAGTAGTGAGGGATATTTAGGTAATTTTTAGATTTGCTGGATTGGTTGTAGTTTGAATCCACGGGTTGTAATACGGGTCTGTTGTGATATTTTATGTGGCCCTACCTTAGAGGGTGATCCCTAATGAAGTTTATGTGGAATTCTCACAATTTCTTCTATTCTAGGAGTTCTCCTTATGCAAACATTGTTCTTGGGTTACTGTTTGTAGCAATAGAAGACTCCCAGTTTCAACCCCAAACCCTTTTTAATAAGAATCAACCCTGAGCCCTTCCCCAAATCTTCTGCCTTTAATTCCACACCATAATTGATAATGCTTTGAAATAGCTACTATTTCGAAATTTTCAGCACATAATTTCTGAAGTCTAGCAAGCTGTCTAGATACCAAATATAATTCATTCCCTTTTTTGCACAAACCTTACTACTCTCTGATGCGGAATATAAGAAGGTCAAGGAAAGTTAAATTCAAAGAAGCGATGATATTTGGACATTGGCATGCTGTCAAAGAGAAACTAATTAGAATCTTATATAATTATTTTTTGGAAAATTTGGCTATAAACCCCTTTTATGTTCCTTTTATTGTTAAAAGGATTAAGAAAAAAATTATACTTTTAAAACCCCCTCATAATTATAAAATTTTGTATAAAGGACAAAATTTATTATTTAAATATTTTATTAGACTATTATACCCTCAACTAAATCTTCCCTAATCACTATCTCAATCTCTCAAGACTCCATGGCTAGGGTTTCAAGATCTGGTATCAAAATCAACGCCGATGACCTCGCATGCCTCTCCGCCACCCCGTTGCCTCCGCCTTCCACCTTCCACGGCATCTACTTCGTAGTCGACGAAAACCGCCGCCGCCGCCACAGATGGCCACCTCTAACCACTCAGCGACTTGCTCTGCTCCGCTTTAGATCGGAGTTCGATCTCCTTCTTCGGTTGATTTCTTCGCTACTCAATCACCGCCGTTGCCATTTGATCAAATATCCTCACCTGAGATCCATGAGTTGGTTGATTCGCTGAGCCACCGCAATGACCTTGCAGGCCGAATTGAAGAGTAGATACCAGATTATTTTGATATCATTTTTGGAAAGAGCTATTGTGATCCCAACCACATTTTCCTTCATAAACAGTGCTATTGGTGCCATGTACAGCAGAAGGTTCATAGAATTCAAGAGATTTTCAAGATGATATTGATGATGATGAATGATTATATGAGTTGTGTGAGTTCTGATCTGTTTGAGGTGGAGGACATTGATGTGATTAGGGTTGGAGCGTAAATGCATATCAATTGGCTTTTATTATTATTATTATTTTTAGATCTAAAAGTAAAATTTGACTCTGGTCCATTCATTTATGTATTTTATTTTTTTATAACAGTAAAATTTTACTCTGATTAAAAACATGTTGATTTGCCTAACAATATAAAATTTTACTTCGAATCATAGTAAACTTTACTCTGAATTAGAGTAAAGTTTACTATGATTCAAAGTAAAATTTTACTCTGATTAAAAACATGTTGATTTGCTTAATGATATAAAATTTTACTTTGAAACACACTGTGAGGATGGCTTAATAGGAGAGCTGATAGATATGAGGGTAATATAGTAAAAGAAAAAAGTTTTAAAATATTAGGGGGTTTTGAAAGTACCTATATAATTCTTGTTCTTTTGAAAGACAAATTAGACAGTGAGGGGTCTATCACCAATTCCCTCTTATTTTTTTAGTATTATAGTAGTCTTATTTTATGATTTTTTTTTTAATGTTTTCTAGGAATTTTAGGTCAGGTATATTGGTAATTTTCATATTTGTTGACATGGGCTATAGAGGTTGCCCATAGGTTGTCTTATTGGTCAAGTTATTTAATTGATTTTTATTTATGTTTCTTATTTGGTCTTGAATTGGTTTTGGAAGTCAAAGGAGTTTTATTTGTTTCGTTTTTTTGTTCTAGTTGGTTTAGGAAGTCTCCTAGTTCTATATAAACCCAAGTAACGCTTATAATTTAATAGAGTTGGTATTTTATAGAATTTTAAGAGTTTTAAAGCCTCTTTTGGGTTTGGTGATGCAACCATAACCCTAGAATTTTCTAGATCTATTTTCTTATTTTCTTTTCTTTTCTTTTCTTTTCTTTTCTTTCTTTCTTGAATGTCAGCACTTTCACAAGTACTGTTCACAGCACCCTAAAACCTCCCTTAAACAGTGTCAAATCAGCCCCCAAAGCCCATTGTTGTGGCATTCTTTAATCATCCTACATCACCTTCCTTGTAGCCTATATAATCCAGAAGCTAACAACCTTTTATTGCTGTAAACCTCCACAAGCCTGAACATAGACGGCTTAATCTTAGTTTTCCTAAGCTGTCTTGCACAAAAATAAGGACAGGTTTTGTTAAGATTGTGAGATGCTAGAAAAAACTTCACCTTCACAATTTTTATTATTAACTCAGACAATTTTTGTGAGCTGCATGGGTTGACAGTTTAGTTTGATGAATCCTGCTCAAAGCTTTTAGATATCAAACATGATTTAGGGTTTGATTCTTAGGTGAAAACACTGCATGGACTTGCCCTAGGAGGACATTGATTTTGTGAGTGTAGGCATGTGCCCATACCTAATACGTGCATTGCACATCATCTCTGTGTAAGAATATCTAAAGAGCGTGGTGCTATGTGTCAGCCTTGTGAGCCAGTAAGGACTCTCCATGTGCTCCCCTCTGGGGCTGAGGTGGTCGGTAGGGGATGTGTATGTATTCTTTGCTGTGTTGTACATAAATAATTTTCTGTTCTTTGTGGAGACTTTTTGTTGAGGAAGAAGGGTGGGAGCCCACTCTGGTTGCTGGATAGGTTCCTTAGATGGGTGAGGTTCATTCAGGAACTAGATAGGTTTGCTTCCTCAAGTTTCTATTTTTTGGGGGGTTCAGATTATCGTCTAAAGGATTAGGGGTGTTCACCTGTTTGAAAGCCATGTTTTGGCTGGATTATGGCCATGCCTATGTAGGCCAAGAGTATATAACTTGGGATGTTGCAGCCTAAATTTGATACATAGTGGGTGAGGTTTTGAAAAGCTTGTATTTTAGATGGAGAAGAGGTGGAAATAACTTAATGCAAGAAATGGTGGTTTACCCGAATGAGTTTTTTCTCTTTCAAAGCCTCTGTCTATATTTTGTGACACATAAATCAAATCCTATAAATGAAGAAGAACAGCCATTTTGACAGATTAGCATTATCTAAATGGGTCTAGACCAAAGAAAACAATCCTACACTCTTCCTCTATTATGGATATGCATATTTTGTGTACCACTTTGGGTAATGAAAATCACCATCATGTTTCATATACTCCATGTATTTTTGCTGCTTCATGGTTCTAGTGCCATTTCCCCCTGGACTTAGTTATGATGAAATCACAACAAAAAATTTTTCATCTCTGAGATGAGGCCATTGGATTTGCCTGAATGTAGAAGGGTCGAGCCATGGTGGAGAGCTCAATCTGCATAGGTACGAGCACGTCTTGCCTGAGAAACTCGAAGCAGATGTGATGTGGTAAGAGGATAGGGAGTTGAGGAGAGAGATAATGTAACCTCATGTCCATGGAATCAATAGGGAGAAAGTATGGAAGATTAGCCTCTCCTAGTTGTCAGAGAGGATGAACCAGAGAAATAATTGAAGAAAAAGGGAAATAGAGAGAGAGAGAGAATCTGATAGAGAGTGGTGGGGGAATATCCTCTTGGTGGATTTTGTTATGAGCAAGAAATAGGTGTATATATAGACATGGTCACATGTGGGACCCATACACATGTGAGGGGCAGCTAATAAGAAAAGGGCACGTGTCTCTATGAGAGGGGGACACATGTCGTTGACGTTTTTCGAATTCTCTCAACAGGATAATTCCCTACATAGCTAGAAGGGAATGCTCATGGGCACAGCCAGGGCCCTGCGACAAAAACCCTTAACTAGTACTCCCTTGTGACCCAACAAACCATAATCTCCACGGAGTCCCCTAGGAGATGTGTGGCGTGCGGCTACCCTCTGCAAGGTTGGCACTTAGATTTACCCTTCTAAAGTACCTGTGATATATATAATTTGTGCGTCTTCACTGGATGTTTGGAACTAGATGCCTTGTTTCGTTTTAAGTTGATTCAAGGAAAAAAAAAAAAAACTCTTGATAAGTGTTGCTATGATTTCAATTTGTTTGCAGATGGGATGCAAAGATGTAAGAGCACAAATAGAGGATCATCTTCTACGTCCAGATGGAAATCTATTCTAAATTCTATTGCCAAACAGGTTTCACAGGTTTGTAAAGATATATCCCCTTTTATATGTGTATTCTGTTGCATATGCTGTTTGGTATTTGTTAAAAAGCTTTCATGTAATTTTAATTATGTAGTTAGAAAACATGCTTGAAGAAGAAAAATCAATATGACGCATTTACAATGCATGTGGTAAGCTAGATCAATGCACTTTAGATTTGAAGATTTATTTTTTTCCAAAAAGACCAATATTTAGATTCTTCTTTTTTCATGTGGTGATAAACACAATCTCTAGTGGAGAAATGTATTAGTCATTGTCTTGAAAAGGTACTTTAAAAGAACACGAAACTGCCTTTAAATTGAAGGCTATGTTTAACATGGCCTTTGTAAGTTTGAACTTGGAACCTAAAGGCATCATATTTAATCTCATATGATGCGAGTGCATTGGAATTTTTGTTGTTGTTGTTGCTAAAATACCAATATTTAACTTTTTCCTTGGGGAGGATTGATGTTAAAGAGGGGGGAGGACTTGAAAATGGAGTTGAGGAATGTCTCTTTTTACATGGAATTCAGTCCTGCTCACTTTCACAAGAAATTGGATTCAGTCATTCCCCAAATGTAACAGTCATGCATGGGGAATGCATTACTAATTTCTTTAATTGTACTACGTTTTAGTACTCTACACTTTGGAGACTTGACTAGCACATAATGCACACATGAAGCGATATAGCTTCTAATACTTGACTAGCATATTCCCAATTGACTTGTACATTTGTGCATGTGATTGAATCCCATTTTCTGGAAAAGTAGCGTGATTGAATAGCAGTTTAAAAAAAAACACATTACTGAATTCCATTTTCAAGCCTTCCCCTTTCCTAAATATTATATTCTTTTCCCATTCGAGTCATTTTGTTGAAAAGGTTCTATAGAATTGAATGACAGTTGGAAACTCTCTTTATTTCCTTTTCCATGTGTAAGGAAGGTTAGACAGCTATTCTTTTTTCATTCGTATAAAATTTTACCGAACTATGCTTCTTTAGTTGAATTTGAAATCTGAATGCATTTTTTGGATGAACGCAGTAGTTATTTTGGTTTTATTGTATTCTAGTTAGTTATGGATGCAGCAGATGACATCTCCTCAAAAGTAGAGCTGTCTAAAATGAAATAACAATATGGAGACTTGAAACGGACTTTTTATTCTTACTGTTTCGACATTATTTATCATTTTAATTTGATGTTATGTGTGGACATTCATTCCCTGTCAGGTTGAATTTGCATGTAAGTAAAGACAAATTCTCTTGGTACTGGCACTTTAATTGACATTAATTCTTCTTCTTCTTCTTCTTCTTCTTCTTTTTTTTTTTTTAAAAAAAAAAAAAATTTATTAAAGGTGCCTCTCTCATTGTCAATAAGGGTGGCATCCCTTAAAGGAACTTTACGGTTGCATATAAAACCTCCTCCTTCTGATCAACTATGGTTTGGGTTCTCATCAATGCCTGATATTGATTTCAACTTGGAGTCTTCTGTTGGAGATCATAAGATTAACAGTGGACATATTGCTTTGTTTCTGGTCAATCGGTTCAAGGTGAGATTATGTGTCCTTGTAGCATTCATATTTCTCCAAGCATGTTTAGTTTATTATATTTATGGGTGTTTTAAGTCATTGGTTCAGTGGTATTTACAAAGGGGGCCACAGGTTTAGTGGTTCGAGGTTGTAGGTTCGAACTTGAAGGTCTGTACCCAATTTATCCCTTCCAAATCCCAATTTAATGGGACTAAACTGGGCATACTTCATTTACAAAGTCAACCTAAACTTTAGAAATGATCTGGGTTTTATGGTGAAATTCTGAAGAAGGTTCTCTCTTGGGTATGAACATAATGAATATATAATTATACACCAAAATAGAATGTATATAATGGTGCAGTGTTTTGACACTGTGCAAAGCATAAATGTACAAATTCTGAGTACTGCTAGGGTGTGTTTGTGTAACCATGCATGCCTATGCCATGCTTGTCTGTCAGATGTGGGTTTGATGTAGAAGAATCTGTGTTACTTTCTTTTGGATATTTTAAATTAATACATTCTTTTGCTGGGAATCAAGTAAAACATTGAACAAAACATATAAAAATTGCTCAGCAGCTACGGCTGATGGTTATTAGTTTCATCTGTACAGACAGCCATTCGGGAAGCTCTAGTACTTCCAAATTGTGAAAGCATATGCATTCCATGGATGTTAGCAGAAAAGGATGATTGGGTCCCACGGAATGTTGCTCCATTCCTATGGGTAAAGCAAGAAGCTGTTGTCGATCATCCCCCTGTTGCTGTGGCTGTTGCACATGAAATTCCCAGCTCCCAACCTGCTGAAGCAACTCCCATACCCGATGCTACTAGGGAAACCACCAGTGATATCCCAAAAGTCAAGCATGATAAAAGAGAGAATGTTGATTGTTTTCAGCCATCAGTCAGTGAATCCTCTGTTGCACGTGCCAGTCTTTCAGATCCAGCTAATCAGTCTACTTGGAGCATCAAGTCTCAGCAAGAATTGAGTGTCCCTTTGTTAAATGAACTACAATCAACTTGTGTGGGTAGTGAAGAGGAGAACCCAGGGTATCAATCACCATCTCAGTCATTGACAAGGGAGCAGATTCAAGCCATGGAAGGAGATGATGCCAGGCTAAAGAGATCGGGAACAAGAAGAGCAAAGATGCTTGGTTTGGGGAAGAAGATGGGGGAGAAGCTTGAAGAGAAGAGGCGTCACATTGAAGAAAAGGGAAGACACATTGTTGAGAGGATGAGGGGACCTTAAAGATCAGCTTTTTTTGGGAGTATTCATTCATTGATGACGTGTGTAGAATAATATGAAGCCTGAGTGCATTTGCAGGGTTTACGATGTAATTTTCGAGGGTCCTGAAAAATTCCCTCTATGTAAGGTTGTTGCACAGATCTGTCAGGAGTTGAGCCTGTAAATGATTCCAGTCAACTAATGTAGTATTCATTCATAGTACAGAGTCAACTAGAAACTTATTTTCCATCTGCCTGTTCAAAATCACTTCCAATATTGCAAGAATTAGTTCTCTGTTTCTGCAAAATATAGCTCCCTGCTACTTCTAGAACTAGAAACTTAGAGCATGTAACTGCTTTATCTTTGCATAGATATCAGATGATCGATGGTGGGAGCGATCCCCAGCTGTAAAAACATGCAAGGAGCCATCGATCTCAATCTGGCTCCGACCAGGTTCTTTCACTGATCTTCCTTCTCCTTGATATTCTTTGTCAATTAAACGTCGAACAATAGCTGCCTCCTTCCACTTTCCCACAGATGTGTAGAAATTAGCTATGGCTACATAATTGCTGTTGCTTCCACTTCCATTGTTCAAATCTAACAGCTTCTTTGCTGCAAACTCTCCTATCTCAATGTTGTGATGCTTCCTACACGCACTTAGCAGCGGTGCCCAAACTTGATCCTGCACTTGCACTGGCATTTCTTGGATTGATTTCAGAGCCAAGTCTAGGTAACCAGCTCGGCCTAGAAGATCCACAATGCACCAATAATGTTCGATGCTGGGTTCTACTTTGAGATTCCGCTTCATGCTTTTGAAATACTCTAGTCCGTCTTCCACCAGTCCTGAATGACTGCAAGCCATTAATATGCTCGTGTATACAACAGCATCAGGTTCAATTCCTTCCTCGGATTGCATCTTATGAAAAAGGCTCAGAGCCTCTTCTCCCATTCCATGGATGGCATAACCATTTATCATTGAACTCCAAGCTGCCAAGTCTTTCTTGGACACCCTCTCAAACACTTGTTTTGCCTTCTCTACGTTTCCACATTTGCAGTACATCTGTATTAATGACGCTAGAACGTGTAAATTTGATGCTAAACAACCACCGGAGTGCTGCTGATGCTGCAAAATGTACTCTTCAATCTCAACTCCCATACTTGGTGACCCTAAATCAGCACAAGCTGAAAGTACAGTAGCTATGGTGATTTCATTAGGTCTGGTGCTTGTCCTCAACAATTCCTTGAAGAGATTCACTGCTTCTTCAGGATTACCAAAATGGGTATACCCGCTAATCATTGACGTCCAAAGGAACACACTTTTTTCCCGAACCCTATCAAATACATTTCGAGCAGACACAAGGTCACCACATTTTGCATACATGCTGACCAGCAAGTTGTCGATTGGATGATTGTGATCATCATGAACAATATCACAACCGCACCCACTCTTGAGCACGAGAGAGTGGACAGAGGAAGCTAACTGCAGGTCCCCTGCTTGCGCACAGCCAGAAATGATATTTACAAGAGCAATACAGTCCGGTTTTACACTTTGTCTTCGCATTTGGTTAAAAATATGGAATGCTGGAGCAACATAGCCAGCGGTTGTGTATCCGCCAAGTAGTGTCGTCCAAGAGACAATCGATCTCTCACTCTCAAATGAAGAATAAAAAATGCGTTGAGCGTCATCAAGTTGACCGAAACGGACATACATACTCATAACAGAATTAGAAATGGGTAACTCAGAATGGAGGAGTCCAAGTTTGATAATGTAACAGTGAAGTGACAAGCCTTGTCCGAGTCCAAGCCCTAGTCCACTGGAGAGAATGGTAAGGAATGTGGCCGAGGTCGGCTCCAAACCAAGAAACAGCATGTTTTTGAAGAGGGAAAAAGTGTGGTTGATGTGGGGATGGAGGGAGTAGGCGGAGATGATGGAGTTCCAGGAGACGAGGTTTCGGTGGGGCATTTCGTCGAACACTCGGCGGGAAGAAGGCAAGTCGGAGCATTTAGAGTACATATCGATGAGAGAGGTCTGGACGAAGACGTCGGAGTGAAGGCCGCCGCCGATGAGAAAGGTGAGAGAATGGAGGATGGTGCCGTCTCGGATGGAACGGAGGTTGGAACAAGCCTTCAACACCAGTGGGAAGGTGAAATTGTTGCCGAAGTAGGCATTGGAGGAGTGACGAAGCATTGAGGAGTAGATTTGCAGAGTCTCTGTGAAGAAGCCATCTTCGTTGGATTTTCGCAGCTTCAGGTTCCATAGGTAGATCATGCTTCTTTTCACCTTCATTCAATTCAATTCAATTCATGCCATTGCCATGATGCTTTTACTTTTGTTTTTCCATACCAATATGCATTTTCGATCAATTTTACTCCCTCCTCATCAGTAACGGTTTATAATTACAGCAATGATACACATTATTTTACCTTTAAATATTTTAAAAATAATTTTCAATTTAAATTTGCTATCCGTTTAAATTTGATAATCATAAGGAAAAAACACAAAGAGTAGAAAATATAAGGGAGGAAAAAAATTATTTATGGATGCGGCAGGAGGCCTAATCACTCAGTCTTTGGGCAGTTTACTGGTAATGTCAATTTATTATTGTCAGCAAGTGATCATTTCTAAAAAAGTAAAAAAAAAAAAATACTTAAAAATATTTACTAAAAATAAAAAAAAAAATTGAAAAATTGTTTGGTTCCAGTTTTTAGAAAACAGTTTTCAGAAAATTCTATTTTTTCATTTTTCGTATTTTAATGTTTTCAATGAATTTTTTTAATAATTTAAGTAGTTTTTTTTTTAAAATGATATATAAGTTTATTTTTTAGACTTAGTGATGTGTAAGTGAGATAATTAGTTAATGATTAGACAAATATATGAAAGAATGTTATTTTAGATATTCTAATTGATTGTCACATCATTAAATTTAAAAAGAGAATTTAATTTTTAAGCTTAAATAGTAATGTCCTATAAAAAATCCTAATTAGTTAGGCTATGTTTGGCATGTGATTTTGGGGTTATTTTAGCTACAAAAATGCAAAATAGACAAAAAAATCAATAAAACAAAATATCATATCCAAATCATAATCATTTTATTTTTTCTCTCACAAAAATTAAAAAATTATTCCAAATGAAACTTTTTAATTTCAAACTAAAATAATCAAAAAATTTAAATGAAGGCTTAATCTTCTTACTGTATATGGAGAAACAGGTTGTCATGTGGGGATGTGCCATGATTAATTGCACATAATTCCAAAAACATCTTAAACGTACACTTAGAACGTGATAATCTCACGAGCTAGTATATATCGAGTAGTTTTTAACAGCTCGATATCTACCCAAATTTCTAGTAGCCAAACAAGTAACAGCAAATTCAAGTGTCCACAGCGCCCCCCCCCAACACACACACACACACTCTCTTATATTTTTCATCCATGCATTCTAGGTGAGTCTCCAAATCCAAATTCGAGGAATCTCTTTCTTCTCTGTCTCTCACATATATATAGTCTATACTTCACACAAGAACAAAGGGCAACAACACACACACACATATATATATATCGGGTCCATGGCGAAATCCTATAGCCTAGATGTTATTGTTTCCATATTGCTATTCTATCATTCCACTACTTCATGTATGTAATGTATATTCATTCTACCTAGTACTACTACTACTAGTACTACTTAATTATATGTATGCTTATATATAATTTGTATGTATGAACTATGTTGCAGATTCAAAAGGCTGAATTTTTTTAATAATTTAAGTAGTTTTTTTTTTTTTTAAATTTTAGACACTCCTAATATAAATACACTTAAATAGTATAATATTTGTGAAAAAAATCTTTAAAAAATACACTAAATATAAAAAAATATAAAAATTAAGTACATTTTTCGTATTTTGTGTATTTATTTATTTTTTAAAATATTTTTTCACAAATATTTTACTATTTAGATCCATCTAAGTAAGATGCATCAAAAAAAAGTAAAAAAATTACTTAAAATTTAAAAAATATTCACTAAAAACAAAAAAATACGAAAAACAAAAACTCAATTTTCAGAAAACTGAAACTAAACACACTGAGTAGAACTCCAATATAAGTTTTAATGATGTAACAAAGTCAAAAAAAGAAGAAAAAAATACAAAAACACAAATCAAAATATCACATCACATGGTGAGACCTATCATTAAATCTCTCTCTAAAGCTCTTTTTTTAGAACTCCTAAACATTTTCCTTTATAATTAAATAAGAATTACTTACCTAGTATTAAAATTTCTTTTTATTTTTTAAATTCTCTCTAAAATATCAATTACTTACACCCTTAAATATATACTAAAATAATTTAATTTAATTTAATTTAAATATTTAATAATCATTTTCATACAAATATATAACAATAAGAATTTTATCATAATCACATTTGTGTATATATAAAAACATTCAGTGGTGTTACATGCACTAATTAGTGTACACATTAGTATATCAACTAGTGTTATATCATTATTATTGACCTGACTTATTATACAAATTATAAATATTCAAAACTTCTAAAATTATGCCACATCATCTGTTAATACATTAATTGGTACATATAGTATTATTAAAAAACATTCTAGTTTATTGCTCATTAAAAGAATCATTAGTTGTTCATTAATCTTTTCCAAAATAGTTAATTTTTTTTAGAGTAATTCTTTTCAAATTAATCATCAACTAACTGATCACTTTCATGTTATATTTATCTCTCTCTCTCTCTCATCTATTTTTAATAATTAATCAATTATTTCACTTACACATCAATAGATTTAGAATGTAAATCTACCAAGTAAATTTATATATCATTTTTTTATATTATTTATACCTCATATATTTAAGCTTAATCTATTTTTTTGGTCATCATAGGTACATTGAATTCTTTTATCTTTTAAAATTGTTATTTTAACAGAATTTTTATTCAAAATTTTTTACTAGAATAATACGGTGATTCTATCTGTATAATTATATTATAATGAATAGTTGTTTTAAAATTATAAATTTTAATGTAACCACATTATTTAATATACACATTTTGATATATAATACACATTTCAAAATAAAGTGTGCATTATAAAAATAAAAAATGATATATAAGTTTATTTTTTAGACTTAATGATGTGTAAGTGAGATAATTAGTTAATGATTAGACAATATATGAAAGAATGTAATTTTAGATATTCTAATTGATTGTCACATCATTAAATTTAAAAAGGG